CAGTTTGTATTTGTAATTACTTCTACCTTAATGTGTTTTTTGTCTTTCGTCCAATAGAAAGCCCACCTGGACCTGTCATTCTGTCTGTTTCTACTTCCTGTCCTCTCAAACCTCAGCCGGTCGAAGCAGGTGGCCGCTCGTCCTGAGCCTGGTTCTGCTGGAGGCTTCTTCCTGTTAAATGGAGTTTTTCCTTTCCACTGTCTCCTTTGTGCTTGTGCAGGATGGGAGACTGTGATGAAGTGACGATTCAACACAATCTGCTGATTCTTTAGAGGGAGAACTTTTACTAAATGGCTTTTTTATGTATGTGAATGTTTTTGCACAGCGCCCCGAGACGACTTCTGTTGTGAGTTGTAGCTGTAGAAATAAACTGAATTAAACTGTAAAGCTTCTCATTTAATATTGTTTTAATAATCAGTCTGTACATCTTAACTTCTTGACTCTATTGGTAACACTGAAAGGTAAAGTGTTCAATATTAGATGGTAAAATAAACCAACATGAATGAAACATTTTTATGAAGTTAAATGCCTTAAAAAATATATCTGATAAAGAATGGATGGATGGATGGATGGATGGATGGATGGATGGATGGATGGATGGATGGATATCCAATAAAAGTTAAAAAACACTGCACTCTTGAGATCAAATAAAAGTGCTGGTTTGTAGATGCTGCTGCTCTTTAAGGTAGCTCTGCTGCTCTTCTGGTGGAACATTTGATGCTGGATTTGAAGAGTTTCTCATCTTCCACAGCACCTGTAATATAAAACACCACAGTGGGCACAGCAGAGCTGCACAGTATAATGAACATGTGTAATCATTGCAATATCAGTGAGCGCAATACTGGAAAGATTATCACAGAAGAAAATCTGGATGTAAATCTGTATTTGACAACCAGATGGACTTCTATCTGATAAGACGTGAGAAGAATGTATGCTTATTCTAATGACATCATTGTAATATTTAATAATATTACAATTGCATGTTTTGCTAGTATTATATAGCCCTGCAAGACAAATGTTTGTGTGCTTGTAAAACAGTTATGGTAGAAGTAACTGTAGCAATTGCTAAGATAAACTAAATATCTTTTTCAAGCCATACAATTTTTAATTAGCGGTATTTGTACAATAGTAGTCTGACAGGATGCTGGTATTGATTATGATATACTGCAAAAAAATAGTGTTTTGTATTGTTGTTTTGAAAGATTTCAAAACTGAATTTAAACATATTTCTAAACAAAACTTTTCATTGTCTAAAGAAACTAGTATATTGCTGGAAATCGATGGAATGAAAAGTCTAGACCTGTTTTGCAGATAATTATCGGCATTTCCCACATGGCAGTGATGAGGCTGATTCCTCGCCAAGAGTTGGACACCTCTCCAATTAAAAAAATAAACCAGCAGGAGGTTACTTTCAATAATACCTGAAGTAATCAAAATGCATAGCCCACTATCAGTTTCCTCTTCCTAAGGACTCTCAACCATAAAATTAAATTTAGTATAATTAGGACTGCAGCAATGCTGATGGATGCAGAGTGAAACACAGAACCGCTAGTTTTGCCTTGAATTTTGGCAGCCTTTCCAACTATCAGTCCTACTCGTGCTCTCCTCTTCTACGTGCACCCTTTATGACCACGCTCTGCTGACAGCTGTCCCTGTGTCAATATGAATGCCTGTCAGGAGAGATTATACATCACATGAATCGAGGCAGATAATGAGCAAGAGGGAAGGGCACTTTTTAACACCCCCTCGTGTGCAACACTTGACACCAGCCAAGCTAATTAAGCAGATGCTATAATGCAGTAATCGGAACCACGGAAGAGGCTGGAGAATTCACAAACTTGAGCCATAACAGCACAACATTTGCTGCTCAAGAACTTCTCCGCCAACACAAGCAGATGTGAACACCAAATTGGATCAAATGTGTGTGTGAATACTCGTGAGTGTGCAGGGGGGGTCATGTTTTTGATTCTTAATGAGGCCATTATTAAAAAAAAAAAAAGTTTTGTGCAACTTACTTCATTGTACATGTGTGAATTCTGGACACAAATACATAAAACATTTACATGATAAAAACCAAATGAAAACTGCATGCATCTTTGGAAACACACTTCTCTGAAACCTCATCCGAGTAAAGTGAGAGACAGTGTTACCTGGTGATATTTTTCCTCATTATTTTTCAGGAAAATGAGTAATCAGGCATATTGCATCGAGCCTGATTGTTTCCCTCTGTAAATCAGTCCAGGAATTGCAATTAAAATGTTCTTTTATGTGGTATAATTGATGTCGGCCTAATCCTTTATTTGCACACCTGCCAGTGAGTCTGAATTTTTAATGAATTTCTAATTAATGCTCTTTGCACACCTCATTTATGTGTTAGTGAATTATATTGTTATTCTGTGTCCTGCTGGTATGAAAGCACCTACAGAATGTCACACCTGGGCTGAAATATGATTTTTTTTTAAAGGCAGGACACTGCAGTGAATGGTAACGGGGTAATAATAAGTAATGGCCGTTCAACATTTTAAAGGCCTTTGCTATCCTCCTGACAGCACAATTATTCATACATAAGTTAATTTGAAGAGTGGGAGGCTGAGGCTCAAGAGTTAGAGCTGTCATTTGCTAATCATCTGATTTAAAGTCTGACATTTGACACCGTTAAAGTGGAAGATGGTATGTGATGGAGCTATATTCTTAATTTGTTTTATTTAAAAAAACTACTATATAAAGGTATGACTTTGTAAACATGGCTTTAAAAAGCTTTAAGTATTCAACTAGACTGGAAAATGTGGTATAATTTCATGACATGTATTCATATTTGTGAGGGTTGTCTTTACATTGTTGCCCTTTGAGATTGTTGAAATGGATCTGAGGCTCTGAGCACCTGCAGTTTTTAGCACATTTGAGCTTCAAGCATTGATTATATGTTCAAGCTCTGCATTATGGTATATTGGAAAAAGAAATGCGCTTTGGTTTTGTAAAATAGACATCCTAGTAACATGTGATATTACTGTTCCAAAGAAAAAATGATCTCTAATAACAATATCCAGATTTGTGTATTTTATTATTGTTACTAAGCAGAAACAAACAAAAATCAATAATGCATTTTTCTTTTGAGCAAATGCTACCACTAAAAAAACATTCAGGTCAAAATTGTACTTGTTTCTTCAATAACAGTTTTATCTGAGCTTTGCTTGTTTTGTTGTTGCTGCAAAGTATAAAATGTTTGGATGACACGGTCTCATGTTCACGTTTAGTTCTTACCTTAAACCCTCTCACGAACGCCTTTTGCAGAATTGTCTTTGGTCACACGAGTCCTCCATGAGCCATGACGTCAATCTTTCCTCATGCACACCAGTTGTTCAAGTTCTACGACAGGACTACTCAACTGGTGGCCCATGGGCCACTTTCGACCCGCAGGTGGCTTCAGTCTGGCCCACTAATGAGTTCATTATCATTTTATTTTTGGGTGGGGGGGGGGGGGGGTCTGGGTTCTGTTTATTGCATTTATGATTCAATGCAACAAAACAAACACATTTAAAGGTCGTTGTAATACTTGGTTTATTTACAGAATTACTTTAATTGCTGGATGTCGGGCCCCTGAGCTGCTGGCTCTCAGAAACTGTGCCCCCCACCCTGCTTTATGATTACCTTGCTTGGTGGCTCAGAGGTGCAATGACAACAGGTTGACTTCAAAGGCCCATGGCATGATTCCCACCAACACTGAACAAAAGCATTTCAGATCTGACTTTAAAATGTTTCGTTGGGGTCGTCGGTTGATCGACTGTCTCATGTAAGAAACCCAGCAGTAAAATGTGAGCACAGGCCTCCACGGTCAAAACTGGTTTCTGCTGGTTTCAAAACAACTGATAATTATTTCCAGTTGATTTCTTCATCAGGTACATGCCGTAGTTTCTTCATGTGCACGAGCAGCAACACACACCGCTCTTGACCTTCGGGGTGCGTTTACACTTTTTGTCTTGTGAAAGTAGAAACCGTTTCTTTGAACTAACTGTAATGTACCGGTAGTTACAGTTTAGGATTCTTTATTTTTTCATTTATGGATTTTGTCTAAAAACATAATCTGGGTTAAACTTTCTAAGCGAGATCACTGCATTAGGGGTTTTAAAAGTACCACAGTAACATCTTACTTTTATCAGATCAAGGGTTAATTTATCCAACTAGATATAATGCGCCAACTCACTGAAGTGTATTATTATCACTTGACAGATAAGATAATTATTTGACAGTGCATTGGATCCTGGTGTGATTATCAGAAATAACCTCATCAGACTAACAGACACTGTCATGCATCTCTATTAACGAAATCCTCTGGGAAAAGTACCTTTAAATACAGCCCCGTGCTTCTGCCGCTGATGAGTTTCAGTGAGCTCAAACTCAACGAGCATTTATTTTCTCTAATTTATTTGCTGTTGCATTTCATTTCCAGGCCAATTCACCCTGATAATCAGTTTGCAATTAGTGAAGCATGACTCACGGAGAGTAGCTCATGCTTATCTCACTTCCATGACACCTGCATGTTCACAGCAGCACAGTTTGGAGAATCACTCTTTTATTCCAAATAAAATCTGACTGGGTTCGTTTCAAACAGTGTTTCCTTCTCCATCAGAGACTGACGAAAAAGTTACAAAACTTGTTTCGTCATGATTTAAACAGAATTTTAAATAGAATGTCTTATAAGCTTTTTTATCAGATTGTATTTCTTTGATATTAGTATATCAAAACAAAATTTCAACAGCTTTGGCTCCAGTAACGAGGGGAAAAATAAACTCACTATGAACATTTAAGAATCTTTAATTCACACTAGTAATAAAATTGCAATACATTTCATAAAATAAATGTTCCAGTTTATATATACAGAGAAAACAGACTGTACATACCCTCCAGTGAACCATTTCTAAAAGAATGAAAGAAAAAAAAATGAAACAAATTTCACAAAAACATACAAGCAATACAGTGCTCAGCTTAGCAGGCACAACTGTACATCAAAATTTGTAACTGCTCAGTGTTTGGGGAGGTGTGTGTGTGTGTGTGTGTGTGTGTGGGGGTGGGTGGAAGGGGCAAAAAGTAGAACATTTACAATAGAGTCCTTAGGGACTGATAAAGGGGTCTTAAAAAGTATTGCAGGCAAGCAGACGGACGCTTGTCTTGTTCCAAGTGCAGCACAACATCCATCTAGAGTGAAGTGTAGAGTCGATTGTTGCTGCCTCGAGGTTCCAACTATTGAACCTGCGTTTCAAAGCTCCCATTCAGCTGGCCCTCCTCATAGTCCATTTGACACAAAATCATGTTATTTTTTAGGAAAAACTTGTCCCCCACGCAAAACCTGTTGGAAGACAAAAACAGAAGACGGTTGTAGTGAACACGAAGCGTGCTACTGCCGGCATCAAGACAAAGACACGTGTGTTGGAGTGTTTGGCTCAAGCAGTGAAAATGTTAACTTGTTGGTTTCAAAGTTAACATCGGGGTGGCTGCATGTTCAATTCAATTCAAAAATACTTTATTAATCTCAGAGGGAAATTAAATGTTGTGGTTACTCATCATCCTGGTTTCATTAAAGAGTTGTTCTAGACGCTGATGGCTGTGGGCAGGAAGGATCTCTTGTAGCGTTGCAGCGGATCTGAAGAAGCCTCTGACTGAAGACACTCTGTTGTATGACAGTCTGATGAAGAGGATGCTGAGGGTTGTCTATAATGTTCTTCATTTTATGAAGAATCCTTCTTTGAACAATCATCTCCAAAGGTTCTAGAGGAGTCCCCAGAACTGAGCCAGCCTTCTTTGTGAGCTTGTTGATCTTTTTGAAGTCACTTGCTCTGGTGCTGCTCCCCCAGCAGATGATGGCAGAAGAGACAGCGCTCTCTACAACAGACTTATAGAAGATATGCAGCATCTTGCTGCAAACACTGAAGGACTTCAGCTTCCTCAAGAAGTACAGTCTGCTCTGTCCCTTCTTGTAGATGCTTCACTGTTGCATCTCCAGTCCAGTCTGATGTCCAGGTGAACCCCAAGGTATTTATACTTCTCCACCACCTCCACTTCTTCTCCCATGATGGAAATAGGGTAGGACCTGCTCCTGTTTCTCCTGGAATCTACAATCATCTCCTTTGTTTTGTTCACATTCAAGATGAGATGATTGTTTCCACACCATGCCACAAAGCGGTCCACCAGTTCCCTGTACTCAGCTTCTTGTCCACCTCTGATCCACCCGACCACTGCAGAGTCATCTGAATATTTCTGCAGATGACAGGAGTCTGTTTTGTACTGGAAATCTGAGGTGTACAGAGTGAAAAGAAATGGTGAGAGTACAGTCCCCTGTGGTGCTCCTGAGCTACGGACCACCTGGTTAGACACACAACACTTCAGTCTCACAAACTGTGGTCTGTCCGTCAGATAGTCTTTGATCCAGGTGATGGTTGAGGCCTCCATCTGAGTCTTCTGGAGTTTCTGACAAAGCAGATCAGGCTGGATTGTGTTAAACTGGAGAAATCCAAGAACATGACTCTCACAGTGCTGTCTGCCTTTTCTAGATGACAGTTGAAGTTGGAGCAGCTCTGTTACTTTCATTCTGAGTTATTACTTTTGAAAACTTTAATTCCTCTTTTTTCTGGCTGTAAATAACTTTTCAGATGATTACTTCCTCTGGTATCAGATGCTGTGCAGCTGGAAGGATTTTTACTGAAACCTTTTTACTTTTGCACATTTGTTATTATGCGTAACCATGGCAACAACCAGGAGCAGCTGATCAACATCTCAAAAGCTCAAATACCTCAACTACAGCCCCAAATCCCAAATGAGTTGAAAAGGAGGCATCGTGGATGAATCCCCATCAACCTGACATCGGTGCTCGAGTATATGACCGCCGAGATCCTGGAGCTGGTGGGAATCTCCGCTTGTGACAACGGGAGAACCGGGATCATCCCCCGGCACCTTCAGCTCTCTGTCCGTGGTGACGAGGAGCTCGGCAGACTGCTGGGAGCAGCAACCATCGCTCAGAGAGGAATTCTGCCCAGCATTCGGTCAGTCTTGCTGCCCAGGAGGACGCAGAGGCCCGTCGGATCTGACAGTAAGCTGGATTGGGGTGGATGGATCGGTATCTGTGACCAAATTCTTCAGATTTGCTGCAGGAGCTCCTTCCTGCCCACAGCTATCATCTATAACAACTCTTCAATGAAACCAGGATGATGAGCTAAGACAACACTTAATTTTCCTTTGGGATTAATAAAGAATCTTTGAAGTGAATTGAATTGATGGTTCAATTTGATTATCCACCTTTGGTTTGAGACATTTTTCATTCTGCACATCAGGACTTCTGTTGTCAGATTCACAGCCCATTTTGAAGGCTTCAAATGAAACGAGATTAAATCCCAAGTGAAAGCAAACAAACAAGCGCTGGCACAGGTCAACTCTCTTTGGTCAAACGAATGGGAGTCTCCAAGGAAACTGCCACGGGGTTAGCTTTTCAGAAGCCACTTTGGCTGCAATGTTCAAAATCATTTTTCCTCTAAAGTCTCAGAGTCAATTGAAGAGGGGGAAATAACACAGACTGATGATCCCCTCGATGCTGCTGTTTGTTGGTGTGACTCTGGATACAGCTCCGTAATGTGACTGGACGAAAGTGACGATAAGAACATGACTGAAAATAGCTTGGCTTCAGTAATACGCCAGGCTGGTAACACGGTAAATAAAGCTGGTAACAGTCGCAGCCAGGCCGATACTGTGCCAGATGAGGCCTGGCTTTGTGTCTGCCAGCTGAGTCGAGAGGCTGCAGTCATAATTCCCCTACAGCAGGTGTTCACTATGGTAACTGAATCTGGCCTGCAGAAGGTTAATAGGCTTGCGCTGTGTGGAGGAACAGGGTCACAGAACCCCTGACAAGCATGCAAAGGCCTTGCAGACTGGTGTCATTACTGACAATATAGTAATAGAAAAAGCAATATTTGGGTATGTCATATTCTATGTACATCAAACCAATTCCATAACCTTTTCCCTTTTGGAGACGCCATGTTTGCGCTGATCTTTTTTCTCCTCTTTATGCTGCGAGAAGCTTCTGGAGAGCTTCTCTTCTGCAGCTTTTGTAGCTCACATAAGAACAAGAGCTAATTTTACATCCCGCTAGCTGTAAAGATTTACATATCTAGCCACAAACAAAGACAGACTGCTGGCACTATGTCGCAGTGGAAATAATTAGCAGAGTTTTACAAATACAGAACAGCACAACGAGACAACCAAGTTTGCAAGATGTGGTCTCCTATAATGTAATTAACCAGAAAACCTCATTTCCAGACAAAAACACCTTCTAATATTTAGGCTATCAAGCTTCATTCAGGATTTGTTAATGGCAGTGTTGTTGTGCAGTTACGGTTCCCATTCTTACCTCTGGTTACAAAGCTGACAGGCAAAACAGTCCAAATGGTAAACATTATCTCTGGCTCTCATCACCATTTCAAAGGCTGGGATCAGTTTACTGCAGGCTGCACAGTTCCCTGTTGTACCAAAGAGCCTGAATGACAGAGAGAAGAGACAGAGATTAGACCACCGTTTTCTCTTTCACATTTGTGTCACGAGAAACTAACAAAAATGTGTAGAAACAGTAACGATCGAAACACAAGACAGGGTGAAAGATGCAGAAGGGGACTAAAAAATATATATTTTGTTTTTATGGCCTTTTTATAGTCTTGTGCATGCGGATTTACTTTTCTGTAGTGTTAGCAAAATATCTGAAAACCCAAAAGACTGATTTTAATTATTATTAATCTTTATTTAACCAGGCAAATCCCACTGATCTCTTTTGCAAGGGAGGCAACCAGAGAAAACCAATGCAAGCAAGAGAAGAACATTCAAACTCCACACAGAACAACCCCAGGTCCAACCGGGGATTGAACCCAGGACCTTCTTGCTGTGAGGCAACAGTGCTAACCACTGACCCATCGTGCTGCCAATGAAAATGAAACTCTTAGAAATTAATTACTGGATGCACTGCTACGACTCAATAACTTAAAGTCAACTTCATTCTTGATAGCTGCCACAGCTAGATGATTAAAAATAGTATTTTTCAGCCTGTAAGTCAAGATTTTTTTGTTGTTGCATAATTTGCATGCTCTGTGACTTGTATGCCGAAGCAATGCATTTATGGATTTTTTCCCATATTGATAACTACATTTTTGGCTGAGATATGATCGTTTTCATTCATTCGGACTGAAAATATTGAACACTACCATTTTCAGCCGCTACATGGCACTCGCGTAATATGGCATGCCATTGTGTCATGTAATAGGTAAAAATGGCTGTTAATGACACCATCTTCTTGCCATAGCCTGCCACCTTCGTCCAACTCGCCTGGAGCGACCGTCAAATCAGCTTCATTTCGCTGCACCGCCGCGGTGAAATGCAGCTGATTTGACCATCGAAGTGCATTTATTAAGGAAAAGTTCAACTGAGACACATTTCCTGTAATTTCGAGAAAACGAACAGTTGTTTTTAAGTGTTAATCTTGTTAAATTCTTGGGAAAGTCCTCCCATGCACGCCCCAGCGGCCACCATTTGGTAGTTAATTGATTTTTGGCACAACGCCGGCCCACATTTCTAGGTTGTCAGCGGTGACGCATAATAGATGCGATGTATACGGCGAAGTGATTTATTTATGGATTGTTCAACCTTATTAGACATATTTGGACTGATGTGACTTATACGGCGGTGCAACGTGTACAGCGGAAAATACAGTACCTAAAGATTTAGTGGATAAAAACCATTCTTAGCACAATCTGTGAGTGCTAACAGAACTTGGAAGTTCTCAACATATTGCCTGAAATTGTGCTTAAAATTGTTTACAAGGTTTGACCAAAATGCCAGTTTGTTAATAATTAAGTTATTTTAGTTTAAAGCTGTGTAATGAAAGGCTGTGGGTGATGTGCGTTTCTTCAAGGAGCAATATTAGGCCTGTAACCAGAGATCTCTATAAATGACTTATGATCTAAAATACTGTATATAAATCACAAGGTTTAAATCTTGTGAAAATTTTACCACGTACGCTGTAAAACATTGGTAGAGTTGAAAGTTTCCATTGAAAACATCTAGAAATGATTTATAGGTGGCCATTATTTCAAAATGATTTCTGCTGCAAGTGTTTGGGCTCAGATCCATTCTTTCTGCCTCCATCTTCCCGTTCCACGCAGAGAAAAACCTTAGGTAGAGACGACAGCTGTAGCGCCGAAGAGTAAACTGAATGTTTTAGTGTGAACAGAATCAAATCACTGCAGCCTGTTTAGGTTTATTAGATAGGAGGAAAATGATACCAGTCATAAACATGAAAAAGAGCCACTGGGTAATATTTCTTCTTCCCTCAGAGCAAAGGAACCTCAAATGCATCTCCCAGTCAGATTAACATTTTCATTTTCCACGCGCCTGCCCCTATGTTTAAATTGGAGATTTTGGAGCACAGCTAGATTTATATATTCTGCAGCAGGACTGTTTCGCAGCTTTGCCAGGGAGGATAAGACAACAGCAGATTGTCATTCCAGTTGTATGTTTAACACTTTCCCCCAAACTTGTAGAGCTCAGACAGACGAGTCTGAGTGTTGATACTCTGCCGAGTTTTTGCTTGTCCCATTCAGTTACTTTCACCTTGTTAGGGAAAATGTATATCCAGCAGCTCTGCTCCTAATTAGGGGCCACTGCCCCCGAGGAGCAGCCGAGACAGAAACAGAGAGAGAAAGGTTGTTATGTTCCATCAGACGGATTCACAGAGTGTTAAACTGAGACACTGTTACAATTGGTTAGTGCTTCAGTAAAAAATAAAAACCTCCATGTTCTCATACAGCAGGCATCTGCCACCCACAGGGTGCTCTGCAACACCAAGAATGTGTTTTTCTTCAGAGATGCACAAAATCTTTCGCTTAGTCAGACATCTCAAAAGAATTCTCAGCATTCGTATTGATCCAAAAACATACCCAACACTAGAGCTACACGGAATGACCTTGTTATCTTTCAGCATTTGGAAGAGACGAGCGTGAGCAAAAAACACACATTTAAAAAAAAAAACTACAGAGTTTTTCTTTATTTTTTTCTAAAAGGAAGGTTTGTTTTCTCTTTTTGTTTCTTAATATTTATAAATGAATTCACACATTTCCCTTTTTTATTCAACACAGCTCTGTTTCATCCTCCAGCCCGTTCACCCCAGTAAAGTTATAATTTTCTGTTTGAAACTCCTCCAGCAGTGAGTTAAACCTAAACCATTATGAATTAACAAACAAAACTACTATTAATTGTAATAAAGTGGCTACTCAGAAAAATCTGTATAAAGGTATCAAATAGAAATGTAGAATAACTGGAAACTTCCAAGGTCTTGCTGAAACTAGAAAATAACGTTTGTGAAGGATGATACTTAAATGATGGGACAAATATGTCTCTTTGAGTTTTGTTTTTTTTAAATTACTTTTACAATGATGTTCAAAACAACGATCAGAACGAGCACAATCTAGCAATTAATCACACATTGACTTTTAGGAAAGATTTAAATAATTAATGAGAGAAGATGATGCGTCTTGTTAGTGGTGTTGCACTTTATGGCATTTCCTTATTGGCCTAATGTTTTTAATATTATTGTCTCTACAGGACTCAGTGTTTCCTTTGAATGTCCTTTGAGACCATTTAGTTTTTATTGTTAGTGCACTTCTTACTAAAAGTATAAGTGCCAAGACGAAGTGGTGGTAATAAACGAACCTTCACCTGTTGAAAGGTTATGTAACCATGATTCAAGCCTACATGCACAACAATGATGGAAGTACAGGCGCCCAGAAGGTTCCTTGTCAGTAGGCGTGGCCTGAATACAAGCAGCGGTTCGGTGTATAGCAGCCGATGTTTCCTCTCCTGTGGCATGTTGGCTGTAAGAGATCCAACGGGTCTGACTGGGTCGTGGTGATGTCAAATCCGAGTCCACACAGTTTTGATTGGGGGGAAATTTGGGGACCTGGCGGGCCATGGTCCCAGGAAGTCCTAGTAAAGCTGCCTAATGTGTCTACAAGGCATCCTGTGTCTGGTGAGTTTCAGCGTAGCTTTAACTGACTGTCAGATGCTCTGGCAACTGCCTGATAACACTATACATCTACACTTGTGTTCCACACATTGCCCTGTGGTGCTTGTTCTAGATGTGCCAATCAATCACTCAATCAATAATCAAATTATTTACATCACCAGTCTGCATTTGCACCAAACAACATCCAAACTCAACTCCAGTTTTTGGGTGACATTTTTTCAGGATTATTTATTTTAATGTCCCTCGACTTCTGAATGACGCTGAGACCATATGTATAAACATTTTTTATTTTTTTATAAGAGCTTGCTCATTCTAGAAGCTATAATGTGCTGCGGTGGGTCACCCACGGTGAAGTCCTTTTCTCTCTTCAGAGGTAAAACGGCCCTAGGAGAACCTACGGAGAGCTGGTCACCTATACAGACTGTTATTCACGCACTTAAAACACCTTGACGGATTATTTTAATCCATCTCTATCACATCCTGTGGAGCTGCAGACACGGTGCTCACTTTGTACATTCAGCTTGTGAACACACCTGGTGGGGAAGTCCAGCTTGCTGCTGGTGTCAATTCTACCTTCAGAGAAAGCAGCAGGACACTTTTTTTGTCCAGTTGTCACCTTGCAGCTGCATATACCGTTCAAAACGCTTAATAGTTTCATTGTTGGCAGTAAAAGAAGTATTGGTGACCATACATTTCCAACCTTTAAGGTGCAGAACCTGGTTAACATTTATTTCTAAACCTCCAACCTCAGCTGGATGCCGTTGAGGAACCAGAAGTATTCTGCATTAAGTTCTGCACAGCACGGTCCACGGTCTCTAAAATCATCCTCGTTGCTTCACTGTCTTAAAGCACATAGCTGCTGACTTGTTTCACTGATCACTTTATTGTTTCCTGATTTTAAAATCGTACGCATAAGTCTGGAACACAGCTCCAAAAGTTCTGTAAGAACGTGTCCTGGATGGGGTTGTGTCCCACTTATCTTCACCAGCTGATGTGCATGACTTATATACAGTATATGGCATGACATCTTTTTATAAATGTTTTTTTTAAAGCTCTGAATATATTATGAGACACTTAATAAGCTTCATTCTATAATCAATGGTCTTTTAAATAACAGACTGCACACTGTTTTTGAAAATGATTCATTAAAAAAACATTTTAGTGCTTCTTTTTATTAATGTCTGTGTTCTGACATGTTTTGTTTTAGGAGAGCAGCAGTTGATTTCTCCAGTCATTTGAATTCATTAATTAAATAAATTAATAGAAAACCAGGCAGTAAAAACAGAACTACATTTTAAGCAAGCTATCTGTTATTTTGGATTAATATCTCTTTGGTTCAGATGTTTAAGAAGAAGCCACTCAAACCAGTTTTTGAGCCAGAATTGACAACTTTTGTTCATTTTTCATTCACTTCTAATTCCTGCACATATGAATAAATAAACACGTAACACACATATTCATTGTTCGTT